TCCACAGTGGATCATTGAAGTGTGATGCATTTATCTCTTTTAAAGTCTTGCAGCCTACTGGCATCCTCTGCTTTTCTCTCTCCCTGTCTCTTGAATGTATCATTTATCTTTTTACCACCTCTGATCTCTTTAAGCCCTTCTCTTTCCATTTAGCCCTCTGGCTATTGTTGCCTCCTATTTCTTTTTCACCTCTCACTTAGATTAACCCATAGATAAAAAATAGAAATGTACTGGATTACTTTTCATGGGGAAATCACTAATCTTTTAATTTCATTATTCCAAGGTAAAAATGACCCAGAAGAATAATTTATTATTCTGTAGATAATAGTTATTATTCCATAAACTTGTTTGTAAAAAAATGTATGCAGGGCATGAAAAAAATGGACTCCAAACATTGATTTTGGATTTTGGAATCAGATAAAATTACAAGTAAGACTGTAAAAACGTTCAGTGTATTTTTCATATTAAATGATTATTTTGCATTTATCAAGTGTTACTATTTGATGAAAAATGTGATTCATTATGGGGCTAGGGTTATGGCTCAGTGGTAGAGCGCTTGCCTCGCATGTGTGGGGCACCAAGCTCTATCCTCAGTACCACATAAATAAATTTAAGAAAAAAGGTATTATGTCCATCTACAACTAAAAAAAAATTTTTTAAAATATGATTCATTATAGTAGTTTCCTATATTTGTCCTCTGTACCTCCTGGTTTTAATGCCAGAAACTTTTGAGGAAAGCTTTTAAAACTTAGAAATGAAGTTACCCTTTGATGAGAATTAGGACTTATTAGATCAGATGCTCTTGCATGGCCCATAGGGGTGAAACTGCAGGTCAGGGATGAGTTTTGTTCAATCTCTTGTAGGAATTGCACATGACTGAAATGAGTAGACCCATTAATGAACAGAGAAGAGCTACTAGCTGAATAGCTGCACCCTGTCCTCTGTTCTGGAAACAAACAAACAAAAAAACCATTTTAGGGCATTAATTAATAAGAGAACTTAATGTTGAATGCTTAACCACTCTTTGGTAGTCATTTAGCCTTCTATTTGCCAAGTGTGTTTTCTTGTCCTTTTACAGTAACTGGGTACAAAATACTTTAATGTACATATGATATTTATGATAATTAAATAATGATCATGTGCCCCAAGAAACTGCTAGGAGGAACAACCATGAAGTAAATTCTTATTGAGTTATTTCCTGCCCTTTTCATTCTATTTATGTTTGCTAAAGAGTGGAGGCCAGATGTATTTTACTACAAATTCCCTGACAATTGAAGAAGGAATAGGATAAGGAAATTGTAAGTAACCTTTAATGAGCACATACTAAGTCCCAGATATTTTCATAAGTACTTTCTCTACCTTGTGTAATTTAATCCTCACAGTAATGTTATGTGGTGCATACTCTGTAAATACTCACATAGCTAACAGTATCCAAGTAATTGGTCAAAATTACAAAGCCAAAAAGGGACAGGAATTTGAACCCAAGAAATTTTGTCTCTGGAGCCTACCCTTTTGAACATTGTGCTCCTCTGCCTCCTTGAGGTAATCAAGACAGTGTATATAGTTTACTCTTTTAGAGTCCCTAGCACACAGAATCATAGAAAAATTAGTGAATGATTTGCTTTTTGAATACAGAGATGAAAAGGCCTTGAGTTATTTAATAGATGAAGGATTCCTTTATGATAACCAGAGAGAAAGCTCTTACAGTCATGCCTGTTCCACCCTGAATAAACTGCTCACCTAAGAGATAGAAAGGGGGGTCTCTTCCTCTCCTACACGGGGGACACTCTGCCCATTCCCCTCACCAGAAGAATTTACCACTCCCTTTCTGTCTCACCCTCCTGGACTTTGGGGAAATTAAACCAGCCTCTTATAAATAGGTCAGAGGTCTTAGGTCTAAGGGGCATTAAGTAAGCAATATGTGTTCAACAAACTAAGCATTATGAACCAAGTGTGGATGTTTATGTTGGGAAGGGGGTGGTTATCAGAAGAACTTATGGCTTATGTTGTTTTCCAGAAGTATAGATGGGCTTTTGCTGCTGTACCCACACTCTGATCACAGTCCATGAAAACACAGGTGCATCTGTGTAAATACCACAAAGGTAGTCTCTAAATACAGTGAGAGTGCTCACTGACTTGACGGGAAGCTGAACCCACATCCTCGACGGAATATGCTGACAGCTAACTCAGGAAGCCAACCATATTCCAAAGTGACATCGTACTCCGCAGCTCTTTTGTAGTTCCTGCTGTTTGTTCTATAATTGCTCCAGCCATAAGAATCTTCACTTTTTGTCTTCTGTATAGCTTGATTACTGCAGCTCTCAGACTGAAAGGAATGACTTCACTTAAAGTGAAGGAATGGCTTCACTATGAACCTCCATCTTCAAGTTAAGTTTTCTGCACAATTTTCAGAGTTTCTTAATGTAATAATGAGAATTATGATTCTCTAAAAGGGCAAGAGAGTATCCTATATCTCCCCAACTTTTTGACCATAGAATTCTTGTTTGTCAGAAAGTATTCTGGGATTGGGGTTTCTTAAAAGTACACAATGCATAAGGATGTAGTGGATTCTGATGCAAAATCCAGCTCTACTACTTACTGTGGTTTTTTTTTTTTTTTTTTTTTAATTTGTTTTGTTTTTTGGTTGGTACTGGGGATTGAATCCAGGAGCAATTTGCCACTGAGCTACATCCCCAACCCTTTTATTATTTATTTTGAGACAGGGCCTTGGTATGTTGCCAAGGCTGGTCTTGAACTTGCTATCTTTCCTGCCTCAACCTCCTGAGTCTCTGGGATTACTGGTGTACATCACCTGCCTGACTTAATGTGATATCAAACAACATATTTAACTTCTCTGTGCCTCAGTCTCTTCATCTACAAAATGTGGATAATAATATCCTACATTACTATGTGTGATGTATGTTAGCTGTTATTGTTATTATTCAGTCCTCTACTGATATAGGCCCCATACACATCTAAAGTTTAAATCCCAAAAGCTTTAAATCACAAGGAATTTTCTGAAACGTTTGAACTAGGGAATATCTGGACTAGGGAGTAATCTAGAGGTCTTGAATTTGGGGGAAAACTCAACAGAGTTTCCAGTTTAAATCATCTGTCTAGTCAGTATGGCCACAGAGTCATGCTAAAATTAAAATGTTGACTTTGAGCAACTAAAGGTAAAATAAAAAGGGAAAATTGAACAGTGGCAAGAATTATGCTTGTATTCATTAATTTGGACAAGGTCGAAGTAGAAAATGTCAAGTTATGAGTAGTGTAAAACAGTAGACATCAAACGCTTAAAATTCCAGTTTCCTGGATATAAACCGTGGAAAGAATGAAGTTGGTTGATAATGTCTAGTCTAGGAAGAAGAGAAAGCCATACAAGAAATGGTCTAGGCAGCAAATTAAGAAGATGATATCCATGCCTTCAAAACAGTGAAACAAACATAACATCCTTTAGGTTAAAAAAAAAAAAAAAAGATGGATCTCTGTTTTCCAACCATCTCACAATCAAACGGAGGATTAGGTTGTAAACAACAATCTAATAATTTTTTAAAAGGCTTCAGAATAACAGCCAGTTATGGAATCCATAAAATTAAGGATAGGTCAAGAATCAGACTGGAAGGCATGTTTTCAGGGCTAGCCTAGCCCTCAGTGCACTGTTGCTTCCTCGTGTGTGTGTGTGTGTGTGTGTGTGTGTGTGTGTGTGTACACGCGTGCACAAAATACAGAAGAGAAAACTTAATTCCAGAGTCAGCTATTCAATCTAGGAGGCTGCGAATGAACCACACTAAATAAAAACGGAATGCTTGATAGACGTCCTTCAATAGACACAGCCAAAATGCCTATAGACAGTAAATAACCGTAAATCACTGTTGTCAAGGCGCACGCTCCACTCTCTCCCTCCCTTCGCAACAACCGTCCTCATTTCCACACCCCCCTCACAGTTCGGGAGAGCTCGTGGTCTAAGTAACGAGAGGACTTCTGACTGTAATCCTAGCACGTCACTTTGTTGAAGGCAAACACGTGGTTCGGAGAGAACTTATAAATCTCTCCTCCCGGCAAGATCCTGATGTTATCTGCTGGCAGCAGAAGGTTCGCCCCGAGCGGAGCTCCAGAAGCTCCCGACCAGAGAGAGAGAGAGAGGACTGGAGGCGAGAGAGCGAGCCAGGGAGCAGAGCAAGGGCTCAAATGAAAGAAGCATGAGAGAGGGATGGAGAACATTAGTATAACGGTCTAGGGAGCCATTCTGGGATAAAGTGAGGTGCTGGCCGGCTGAAGAAAGGAGGAAAAAGAAAGAAAGTGTATTTCAGGGCGGCAAGTGCCTATCTAACCTTAGAAAGTCCAAGCGGGATAGAAGCCAGGAGCAGTTGGGGAAGGGTGGGAGTCCAAGGGAACCCCTACGCAACTCCCTTAGGAATAAAGCTCCGCAGCCAGCGCGTCCCTGGGGCTGCTGTTGCAGTCCGTAGCGGGTGAAAGCGACCGGGGCGGTTGATCGTCAGTTGCCGGGTTGGCCTTTGGAGCGAGAGGAGAAGGAGGAGCAGAAGGAGGGAGCTGGAGGCTGGACGCGTTTGCAGGAGGCGGCGGCGGCGCGGCAGCAGCAGCAGCAGCAGCAACGTGGAGTAACCGAGCGGGTCGGCGCGCGAGGGCCCGGGTGTAGGCCACAGCGCGCCGCTCCGGGAGCACTAATTTGCGGCCTCGGCAGCCTCTGCTGGCCCTGCGGCACCGGAGCGAGTCCCCAACGCGCAGTGCTAAGCGCATCTGCCTCCCCACGGCGCTCCAGGCTCGCCTGCAGCGCGTGCACGCACACGCGCCCGCGCGGACACACACACACACACACACACACACACACACACACACACGTGCGCTCCTCTGCTCCGGAGCTGCTGCTGCTCTTGCTCTCAGCGCTGCAGTGGAAGGCACGGCCGAATCTCTCCTTCTTTAAATATATTAATTACAGCCCGGGTCAGCATCGGCGGCCCGCTCACAACGCTCCCGACGCCCCTCCCGACAGTTCGCCAGCTGCCAGCCCCGGGAACTTTTCATCTCTTCCCTTTTGGCTGGAGGAGCCGAGTTCAGATCCGCCACTCGGCACCCGAGACTGACACACTGAACTCCATTTCCTCCTCTTAAATTTATTTCTGCTTAATAGCCACTAGACTCTTTTTTTCCCTCATCTCGTCGCTCCAAGAAAACTTTTTCTTACTCCGTAAAGTCAGGGTTCCATTGCCCACCCCATATTAATATTTCCACTTTTGGAACAACTTGCATTTTCTTTTTTTAAAGGAATTCAGGCAAGATACATTTTTCTACTCAGCATTGACTCGATTGTTTGCAAAAGTTTCGTATTAAAAACAAACAATTCTACCCAATCTATGCTTTGAGAATTATTGGCTTCTATTTCTTTTTTTTTCCTTCTTTTTTTAATCTAAAAAACAAAACAAAACACTTTTTTTCCACCTTTTTTTTTTTTTTTTTTTACAAAAAAAAAAAATGCACTACTGTCTGCTGAGCGCTTTTCTGATCCTGCATCTGGTCACGGTCGCGCTCAGCCTGTCTACCTGCAGCACACTCGATATGGACCAGTTCATGCGCAAGAGGATCGAGGCGATCCGCGGGCAGATCCTGAGCAAGCTGAAGCTCACCAGCCCTCCTGAAGACTACCCTGAGCCCGAGGAGGTCCCCCCGGAGGTGATTTCCATCTACAACAGCACTAGGGACTTGCTCCAGGAGAAAGCGAGCCGAAGGGCGGCCGCCTGCGAGCGCGAGAGAAGCGACGAGGAGTACTACGCCAAGGAGGTTTACAAAATAGACATGCCGTCCTTCTTCCCCTCCGAAAGTAAGTACTGTTTTTCGCTTCCCCAAGGCTTAACGCTGGCCCGGAGCTCTCAGAACCGCAGCAGCTCTGGGAATCGCCCTTCCCTCTCTGGGTCCCGGTTTGCTCTTTTCCGGTTCTGTCCTTCGTCCCATTCACCTCCCATCCAGACGTGTGCTGGAGACCCTCAGGCTTTAAAACGTTCACTGTCTGCCGTGTTTTTTCTCCACCTCTCCCTTCCCCCAACGCCTCGGTCCTTTTTAAGGAGTTATTCTCCTTTGCTCTTCCCTGACATCCTCAACTCGGCCACCAGTTAGGAAGCAACCTTCTTCTGTCAAACTGTTGGCGTTCCCCGGAGCAGGAGTTAAACTCARAGGATCTTAGTCGCTTGTTTTCTTTGCCCCATTGGCGTGGGGCGCGCCAAACTGGAGCACGAAGGGTTAAAAAAAGTGGCTCCAAACTATCCTCTCCGGAAGGCGCCCCCTTTCCGAGCCGACCTATCAGCTGGTTCCCCGGAGCCACCTCTATTGTCTCTCACTCCCTTAAAAATGTCAGCATCGCCAAAACAAAACCCGATTTGGAGACTCCTCGAAAAACCCTTCAGTGCTTGAGGTATCTATTGCAAGCTCTAGGTGTTTACATTCCCCCTAGGCAAACCCTTGTAATCACGTCCCCTTTTGACTTCACCTGGAGCGGTAGAAAGAACACCTTCGTTTCTGACGTTTTTTAAGAAGGTTTTACTTCACTTTGTTTTTTCAGAATTCACCAACCATGCCTTCTTAAAATCGCTGGGTAGCAGGTCATTTTTCTTAGGGGTCTATCGTTGATCATTTTAAACCTTGAGCTCTGTACTCCTGCCCTTTCATAAGTTTTCTGCAGTGCCTTTGGTGCATTCCTAAATCTAAGAAAAGACAGCTAATTTTAAAATAATAATAATGTTTATTATTATTATTATTATTATTATTATTATTATTATTATGCTTCCCTGAAAGCAGTGTCCTCAAAACTGGCTGGCACACAGTAGCACTGAGAGTGAAATGATTTATTGTGGAGTTCTTTGGGGAGGAGAGTAGTATAGAATTATCTCAGATTTCTTTAAAGAAAGAGCAACAACAGCAGCAGCAGCAGCAGCCAGTGATACCTGAAAGGGTTAAATACCAGGAAGAACTAGAAGAAAAAAGTGAAATACACTTCAGCATTTGAGTATTCCAAATCCTAAGTCATAAACTTTTCATTGGTTGCCCATTTCTCTCCTCCCCTTTCCATGCCCTATATACTTGCTGGCTGCCTTTGGGAAGTCTCCACGTCTTGCCTAAATAGATAATACAGCCATCTTGGTAATTTTATCACCGAAATTCTAATTACTGGGTGGTGCTTTTCTTTTTTAATATTTATATTTTTATTTTGACAAGTCTCAACGATGTGACTTGCCATGTCTTGTATTAATGGCCTTGGAATGTCTGCCCATATGTCTAACCCCAGTCTTTCTGGACACCTTTCTTTTGCTGCAGTTGTCTTCTCTTGTTATTCAATGGCAGAAAGAGATACAGGGAATCCTGGCAAGCAGGATAATTTTATTATCGTAATTATGGCACTGTCCACAACATCAATGACAAAATACACTCCACCCTGGTTATTCCCCTTGGGAAGCAAAACTCTCTATCTGGGATGGAGCCAAGGAGATATTAGGAAAGAAAGTTCATTGTACTTAGTCCAAAACCATTGAGACTGAACAAAGAGTTGAGTCAGTTTGCTCTCTCTAGCACATGCACTGGTTCTACTGGTATTTGGGGAGACAAGCAAATGTTATGTAGGACCTGGATAACTCATCCTTCAGTGTGTACATGCAAAAGCTCAAATGAACTGCCATGTGTTACAACACTGAGAGGTCTGATCTCACCATTCTATGGATGTGGAAAGAGCAAGTTATCCAAGAAGGCATTCATTCTGAGTTCTCTCAAGCATTCTTAAGTCTGAGAGATGAAGATGAGCTGAGACAGTCCAATCCAGGATCATGGTCATCAACAGATTGGAAAAATTCCTGGATTATTAGGAGGATTTCAGAATATGGCATCTAAGACCAGTGTGTGGGTTCTCCTTTCCATTCTGCCCTCAGCTTCCAGACAAATTAAAACCTCTGATGAGATCAGGATAAAAAATAGACTATCGGTGTTCAATAAACAAATACAGGCTGTAAGAAGCCTGTGGACTGTATGGAAGTTTAGGAGCAGAAAACCATATTAATAGCAGAGTTGATACTACTGTGCAAGAACTGTGGATCATTTTATAGAAAGTAGGTTAACTGATTTTCCAGCACTTTCTAGTTATTCTGGAATACAGTGAACTCTTCCAAAAAAAAAAAAAAAAGGAAGAAAAGAAAAAAAATTACTCCACCATATTTTTAAAAGCAAGTTAAAACWACAGCGTTGGCTTTTATACCAACTTTCCCTCTTGAAGACTTTTCTGCCTAGCTTTTAACTGAATTGCTGCAGGGAGGGTGTGCGCCTGTCATTTCTTGCAGTGGATCCGGTGAGGGTCACAAGTCTCAGAGATGAAGGCATGGGAAAGATCACTGGTTCATTTTTTTACCACCGACTTATTAGTGTTCAGGGAGTGACTTCAGCTCAAGTATTACAAATATGCTCTAATTATACTCAATGAGCTATATATCACTACAGATTGCTGATAGCCCTTTGTGGGACATTTTATGAAGTTCAGACTAAATATTTTTAGCAATGTGGAGATTTAAAAGTAAAAATATAAGAGATATTGTATATGCCCTCAGGCATATTTTGTCTTAAATATTATCCTTGGCTAAGTGTACTATATAAATACAGTAAATATGAATAGAACTGGTCAGGTGCCAAGCTCCTAGTATGAATTTTAGTCAAGAATGTATTTATGGGATATAAATAATACTGTGTCAACATTTAAAGAAGGGGTCTGATTAGTTTTGAATTTATTCATATTGATCTTTTCACATGCTGTTAGTTTAAGACTCAAAGTGGAGTTAGGCTAAGGTTTACCGATGGTTTGCCCAGTGGGAATTAAGTGAACTTTGAATAGTTTGACAATCCATTTGAAGTCAATTCAAAAGACACTGCACAAGATTTTAGAAATTTAGAGAGTGACTGTTGAATCAAAGTAGCATCTGTAGAGGCTTGGACATTCAGAAAGAAAAAAAGAAAGGAAGAGAYAGGTTTTCAGTTTCTTTCTCTCTTCTATTTTCATTGTAACAAATCAGGTAATGTTCCAACTATGGAAACCCTCACCTTCCCACCCCCACCATCTCTGCAGGGACAGTTGGCAATGTCTGAAGACATTTTTTGGTTGTCATGACTAGGGGTGGAGTAGTACTACTGGTATTCATTGGGTAGAAGCCAAGGATGTTTCTAACCTTCCTATAAAGCACAGGACTGCTCCTCCTTCCTCCATATATCAAGAATTATCTGGCCCCAAATTTCAGTATTGCCCATGGTTAGGAGTTCTGGAACCCTGGTATTTATCTTGGCCCACTGAATTCTGTTAGTAGTACCATTTTAGAAGTAATAACAAAAGTAAAAGATCTTTGTGACTAAATAATATTAAAATCAAAGCATTGAATATGACAATCAGAAAGTTATCTAATTAAATAGAATATTAATTAGACCATTTTGTATGGTGTATACTTGAATATTGTGATCTTAACATCACCTACATTAGGGACATCGACATTTTCCTTTTATTTAGTTAAGAAATGGTGTTGACCCTTCCATGAGTAGCCTCACTCAGCAACAGTATGATGTTAGTCAGAACACAACAAAAAAAGAAGTGAGGAATTACCTTGGATTTTCCTTTCAAGTAAAATAAGCTGTTTTGTGTTAATGAAGAGTGGAATCGCCAACCTAGGGAACTGGAGAAAATAATCATTTTTGTTTATTCTATCATACTAATTTAGATAAACTAAAATATTCAGCTTAAAAAAATCACAATGAGGTTACCTTTGTAATTGTTTCACACAAATGCTAAACATTTAATACCAAGCAATCTGTTTTTCTATTTTCCTGTAATTTTCCTAGTGAAATTTTGGAATATAAAATGAATACCAATGACACTGGTTTTGGGGAATGTGACTTAGTCTTCTCTTCATGAATATGTCTCTCTCTATACAAATGGCTGGTCTGTTGGCCAACTGCCCAATGAAGGAAAATGTTTGCAATTGCTGGAATACAGTAGCATATTTGGTTTATGTAGTATTTTTATTTTATTTTTTTAAGGTTTTCTCATTGTGTTTGTGTGTGTGTGTGTGTATGTGTGTGTGTGTGTGAGAGAGAGAGAGAGAGAGAGAAATATGAGATCAAAGAACAGACATGAACTCTTTGACTTCCAGAAAGATTTATTTATGTGCAACAGACCAAACTTTAATTCCTTCTCTTTTATTGCATCATTGCTTGTACTAACTCTGGTACCTAATTGTGGTTACATTTAAGTTAGGCCACATTCTCCTCTTTCAGGATTTCCTCTTTTTTACTTTTCAGACTAGAAAGAAAAAAGTCCTCAGTTTTTAACCGAAACAGTTAGATAGTCTTTGTTGCCGACGTAGGCCAGCCGGCCTTATGCTTCTCCTGAGGAGACCCTGCTGGATAGAGGCTGGCCTTCAGAGAAGCTTGAGGGGTGTCCCAGGACTACTTGACCTCTTAGAAGGAACCCTGGGGTCCTCTCTGTCTCCACAGCGACCCCTGTGGACTACCCAAGGAGCTGCACTTTTTGAATTACAGTTTCTCCCTGGTGAAAAGATGATGATGTAACCTAGTCACAGCATCTTCCATATAAAGATATGAAAGAATGACAGATCATTTTTCCTAGAGGAAACGGGAATGTGAGAAAAAGGCTAATGACTCACTGTTGAACCCACATCAAATCTGGGTTAGAACTGAGGAGTTCATTGACTCCTAGGCCTTTGCCCAGAGATTACAACACACTTCAGGCTGCAATTTTATAAGGTTCCGGAAGATAGACTGGAGGAGCCTACCTCTGGAAGAGGT